TTCTCCCACAGAAAATGCTGAGTTACACAGAAGATGAATTGTTCTAACTCAAGGCAAGCATTTCTTTACTTCTTCTTCTTCTTCTTCTTTTTTTTTTTTTTTGTGGTTATTTCTAAAGAAAGAGAAACAAGCTTACTCTAGGCATTCTCCTTCTCAACAGCTTGGGAAAGACATTGGACATAGACTCAAATGACCCAGCTTTGCCCCAGCTCTGTCTCTTGGCAGGTAGCTGACTCTGAGCGAATTGGTTAATTTTACTGAGGCTCAGAAGCTTAACCTTTTAAAATAGAGTGAACACATTCGGCTGTCCAGAGACTGTAAAGCTGGCATGAGATCAGGAAAGGGTAGGAGCTTTGCCAGGCTCTGGTTGTCCCACAGCTTGGGGGCCATGGACACAGGGAAGTGCATGCTGAACAGGTCTCAGAACTCATCTCAAAAACCATAAGCCTTTCTGGATGTGGAAAGGGTTTGGTTCTTCCCAGGGATTTGGTTCTTGCAGAGATACACATCTGCTAATAATGAATAGGAGAGCAAATTTTTACTATTGAAAATATTAAACCAGTGCCTTTGTCGCCTCATCAGCCATATTCTCTTTCAACCCATCCACTATAAAAGTGAAAGGGAATCCATTAGGGACAGGTTGAGCTTTTCCTAGATCAGTGCATTAGTGCCCAGGAGCCACCTGGAGGTCTTATTACACATTCTGAATCAGAAGGTCTGGAGTGAGGAGGGGAGAGCTGAGAGTCAGCATTTTTTATAAGCCCCCAGGCGATGCTAATCTCCTATTCCAGGGGCCACTCTTTGAGAGTCTAAGGCTAAGAACAAAATGCCTTTGACTTACTTTGAGGTTTAGTTTTCTCCTTCTTGAGACCACAGCAGAGAAATAATCTTAAAACTAGGTTTTGGGGAAAGAGAAAAAAATTTTAAACTCCCACTTCCTCCCTTACATATCCAGAATGAGGACTGACAGACCCAGACCCTAGAGGTTTTCCATGAACCATGGCAAGGGGAGGTTACAGGAGGCCATGTGAAAGCATGCATGTGACAAGAAGCAGATACGAACATCTCCCTGATTTTTGAGAGGGGGGCCAGAAGAAGAGGGAGAGGAGTAGTTGGGACCCAGGCCAACTTTCCTTAGGGCCGATCTCAGGAAGAGGGAGGGTGTGGAAACATCTAGTAGGTGTTTTATGAGACTCCAGAGACACTTGAACACATGTTCCTGTTTCCCTCCCCAGCACGACTCCCCAACACGGCAGCTCTACGACAGCAAGGACAGTCACGGGTTTGGGATGCGGGGCTTTGACACTGTGTGTTGAGTCTTCCTCACCTCCTCCATGGTGAGGAAAAGAGTCGGGCATTGCTATGGGTGCTGTGGCGGTGAGTGCAGTCCCTGAGGGATGAGGCCATTGTGCCTGCTGTGGGTTGCATCCGCAGTCCCCCCAAAGTGAGAGGGAGCCATGTGTGTGGACCCTCCCCCCAATAGTCCTGAACCAGGCCCATGCTCGACAGACACTTCAGCAAAGGGAGCTCACATAGTTGCCCCCAAAGAACCAGACAGAACCGGCACTCTGCAGTAGCACCAGAAGATAATGTCTCAACCAGGGGAGAGGAGATACCTTTTACCTGGGAGCCACAAATACAGGAGCCCTGCATAGGGACCAGGCCTCCCTAACACCTGAAGGGACATAAGCATTTCCTGGAGGCACCTTGAAGAGGCACAAGAAGGATAAACAGCTGTAGTGGAAGGTGGCTTTAGAATAGATAGGCTAAGAGGCTGACAGATGCGGCTTACACAGAAGAGGCTGTTTCTCTCTACAAGCCAGCTTGTGCAGCCTCCCCCAGGCATTAGAGGGAAAAAAGTGGGAGGAACTTCAAAGCCGAGTCCGATTATAGGAAATAAAGAACTCATTTGTTCTTGGCACGTGGGAACAGTGGTGTGGAATGTCAGTCCTGCTATAGTACCATTTAATCAAGACACAAATAAAACTAAATCTTACCATGCTAAAATAAAATTATTTAATTCATATGCTTTATACTATGTATTTTACCTAATAACCATGACAGTCAATGAGATATTTATCGTCTTTTAAAACTGAACATGGAGTTACACATATTTTCATATATTGTCTAGATTTCTTACTCTTTATTTTGGTATATTCAACCTTGTTAACATTTAGTGTGAAAAATGACAAATATGTGTTTATGCGTGAATGTGTATATGCACTTTGTGTGTGTGATATATATGCTGTTATGTGCTGAGTTGTGTCCACCTAAAATTTATATGTTAAAGTCCTAATCCCCAGCACCCAAAAAGGTGACTATATTTGGAGATAGATAGAATCTTCAAAGAGGTGACTAAGTTTAAATGAGGTCATTTAATGGATGGGGCCTATTTAATATTAGGATGTAGACACACACAGAGAGAAGAACATGTAAGACATCCATCTGCAAGCCAAGGAGAGAGGCTTCAGGAGAAAGCAACCCTGCTGACACCTTGATCACAGACTTGTGGCCTCCAGAATGGTAAGAAAATAAATTTCTGTTGTTTAAGCCTCCCAGGCTATGGTACTTTGTTATGGCAGCCCTGACAATTGAATACAGAGAGTAATATACCTGTTAGACATACATGTCAATGTTCCCTTTGCAGGAAGTGATGAACTCAGCAGTAATTTGATAAGAGATGGCTTAGAATATGGTACATTCTTGCTGACTCATATGATGAATGCTGATTGGGGCCCTTCTGTGGATGAGCCGTGGTGCACGTGATCTGCTCCCTCACACGTACACCTACAAATTCACCCAACACATGGCGGTTCGGGATGCCAGATGAGAGGCAAGCAAATTGCTTTTGAGAGAGGAAGCTCAGCGAAGTGGCATTTAAGCTGGGTTTGGATGGGAGAGACAGAAGAACATCCCATTTGGGAGGAATGCAGGAGAAATAATACGGAGCAGAGATGTAGACATGTTCTGGAAATAGTGACCGGATAGTAGGGTGGGAACATGGGCAGAGCATAAGAGGAAGGTGAGAGATGATCAGGGAGGTCAGGGACTGGCCAGATTGTGCTGGACCCTGAAAGCCAGGCCCAAAATCCTGGATTCTTTTTTAACAGGAAATGAGGAGTAATGGAATTTTTCAAAGCTTTGAAGTCACATGATTAAAGTGGTGGATTAACCTGCCAGAAACATCTAGAATGTAGAGCGAGGGTGCACTGGAAATAGGAAAATAGATGGACTTTGCAGTAATCCAGATGCAAGGCAACTGAGAAGGGGGCAGGAACGGGTGGCATCCAGGAGCCGGAGAAGAGAGGATGCTTGGGACCTGGAAGCTTCCTTTTCATCTCTAGGTAAATTAAATACTTTCCCATAGTTTGGTGCCCTTCATGGTGCTGCTACCTGCCAGGCTTTGGAGAGTGAAAAGCTGGAGGTTTCTGCCATTTCTGTGGCTGCCCAGGACAAACTTCATTGGTTCTGCTGAATGAGCATCATTAGCATATTTGTACTAGAACTCAGTTCCAGATAGCAGCACTTGAGAATCAAGATAGAGAGTGTTATTGTTAGTGGGAAATCAGTGGGTCAGTAGAAGAGCTAGAATAGTGAGTGACAATTGTCTTGCTGGTTACTCTCAGCATTGGCACAAAGGGATGTGGTGTTGGGCTAACTGAATTTGCACTCAAAGATTTTGTCCTCCCACTGGCTGAAGTTCCACTGCATAGAGATTATGCTTTGGGTCATGTGACTCTTGTGAGGTGAATGCCCTCTATGAGGAACGAGAACTGAGACTGCAGGACTGGCTGGGATAAAGCCTTGGACGTGGTGTCTACCTGGTTCTAGCCCCTTGAGATGGATCCATCTATTCCATATTAGCCTGTTAAAACAGGGCCTCCAGCATGCTGTCTTGGCTGTCTTGGATTTCTGTGTTTCTTACTCTAAAATTCTAATTTCTTGATGAAGATTTTGGTGGCTACAAATTGCTGCTCTTCCTCTAGGCACTGGAATGGATGAGTGTCCTGGTTTGGATTTTCTAGTTCAGCCCTAAAGAAGATTTCTGCTAAAGAAGAAGGCTTTGCCTGGAGTTTCTGGTGCTGGCAAGTGTCTTGGGCCCACGCTTGAACTAATGGGTTCAACTTTATCCCCTCACCACAGGTATAAACTCAAGAGTGAACTCTTTATGTAAGTCACACAGACTGCAGGCATTAGAAAAACAGCTGCAGTACTCTTTTGAAAAGTCATCTCTGCTCTCCCTTCCTGAAGGTGGTGGAAGAAACTTATAATCATGAGAGCTGCTGGGATCCATTTGCAACCCCGCATGATGCTGACCACACAAAAAGAAGACGAGAAAAACAGAATCCAGAGGCCTTGACGTTCTTACTGGGCCGCAGTATCAAACAAACTCAAAACCTTCCCTACCTCTGGACTTCCAGTTATGTGATCCCTGAAAGGCATTCACATGTGACCTTTCCCAGTAAGACTTTAGTTAGGTTGGCTAAAGTGTTAGCAAAGTCTAATCTTGTTGGCAGAAAAAAAATTGCCTTTTACTATGTTTGCACCTTTTAAAGACCTCATAGCCCAGCAGACTTCATAAATGCTGGTGAATTTCTTTCAAACCATTGTCAAATAAAACATCCCATCTCCAATTAGCAGAATGTCTCCATTCTGAAAGTCCAGGAGCCTTCTTTATTTTTTTTTTCTAAAAATATCTATACCAGGATTGCAATAATTATGAGGATTACTAACAAGAAAAACTCCTGAAACTTTTGAGACTGGGATTTGCATTTGCAAAATGATTTGCAACCAGACCTGCCAGGTAGCACTTCACGGAAATCAGAAAGTGGGTTTTGAATATCTAGATTATATTTTTTGGCATCCAAATTCATAGTAAAATCATCTTTCTAGCTGTCTGCAGTAGATGTGGCTAACTCTCAGAACAGCTTCCACAAGTGCTGAATAACTTTTGATAAAAGTCGATGTAGCTGGAACACAGTCACATTTGATTGACTTACCTTTATTCTCTAAATCAGCTTATTGCCCAAACAGCTCCTCAATTCGGGTGTCCCCATGCTGCGGCCACCTTCTCTAGTTGCCAGAGCCCGCTCCTCCACCCTAAATAACTGCGACTGCGGCAGAGGCGTTTGGGTTGGTTTAAGATGGCAGTATATCCCCCTGTTTCTTCATTCAGGATTTCTTTCCTTCAAAGGAGACTTTGTGTTTCCCAAGTTTCCTTCTTCTGCTTGTATGAATCTAAAATGAATCTGAACTAAAAGTACTTGTTGAGTGGTTATGCTCCCAACTGTAATTTGGAGTCAAGGTATGAATATTTTATACTCAAAGAGTCACTGAAGATTTGTAGGAGGTTTTTAAAAATAAAATGAATACACTCATTTTGTTGGCTCAGGTAGACTATAGCTGGGGGAAAACAAAAATACAGGACGAGCCCTCAATCATGAGTCTTTAAAAAATGAATCAGGATTTGTGTTTTGGGATAATCAGGAGTCCCTGTGGTGAGTACACGGTGTCCTTTGGAGGAAAGAAATACCAGCCTGAAGGAGAACCGGGAAACAAAAACAAAAGCCACCCAAATGCTCCAATCTCGTTTTAAACCAACCCAAATTCCAGAGGTGCCGTTTCAGAAGGGAGCTCTTCATGCCCTGGCAGAAATTAGGTGTCAAGCTAGAGAGCCAGTATTCAGATGCCTGTGGCTTCCTTTCACTGCAAAAATAGATTTAAAAAATAATCCAGTCTTTGGCACATTTTCTCCGAGACGGAGAGACCTGAGTAGCCCCTTTGCTTTCGCTGTATGTTTGTGTTGCACTGAGCTGAGGGCTTTGTGAGCTCATAGGCTACTTCAAAAGCTGTTGAAAACAGTCAAAACAGAAACTGAATACATGTGAATTAAGCATTTCCTTTTTTATATAAATCTGTGAGTTGTTTTTTTTTTTTAAATAACATCTATTGGTTTACATAGAGGGACCTCGTTAAGCAATTTTCACTGGATGCAGTTTTAGTTTGAAAGAACAAAAAGTTGAAGAAAAGTGTCTAGGCTCTTTTAACCTTTAAGCATGGCCACACTTAGGAAGATGATCACCTGAAAATCATAAGTTCTTTCCTGAAGACTCTGTAGAAGGACATTTTGATTACAAATCATTTTTGACATTCATCAAGTACTCAAATATATGTTTTAATTGTGCCTGATGCATATTGCTTCTTTCATAATGCACTAATCTTACTCTAAGCAAAGTATGTGGCAATTTTGGGATAAGGAAGAAAGTTTCTGAGCTTTCGTGAGGTGGCTGCCAAGATCATGACCACCCATGGGGTGCTGGGTACATTACCCTTGAGAAGATGCTCTGAAATGATATTGTTTCTTCTTTCCCTGTATCAAAAAGCATTTCATTCTTTAATTTTTTTGTTTTTTTTTCAGTTGCCCAGGCTGAAGTGCAGTGGTATGATCATAGTTCACTGCAGCCTCAAACTCCTGGCCTTGAGCCATCCTCCCACCTCAGCCTCCTGAGTTGCTCAGAGTACAAGCGCATGCCACCATGCTGGGCTAATTTTTTTCGTTTTTTTTTCTGTTGCCCAGGCTGAAGTGCAGTGGTATGATCAGAGTTCACTGCAGCCTCAAACTCCTGGCCTTGAGCGATGCTCCCACCTCAGCCTCCTGAGTTGCTCGGAGTACAAGCGCATGCCACCATGCTGGGCTAATTTTTTTTTTTTTTTTTTTTTTTTTGGTTGCGAGGAGACGGTCTTCCTATGTTGCCTAGGCTGGTCTCAAGCTGCTGGTCTTGAGTGACCCTTCCCCTTTGGCATCACAACGTGTTGAGATTGCAGGTGTAGGCCACCGCACCTGGTCAAAGGCTTATTTTTAGTGTCTAACTTCTGTCCTGAATTCTGGATCCTTTGAATAGGTTCCAACTGTGAGAAGCTTGAAAACATCAGATGCATGCAAATTAAAACCCTAGGTACTAGTTTTACCTGTTAAATTGGCAAAGATTCTAAAATTTGTTAACATGCAGTAATGGCCAAAGTTTTGCTAAAAAATATGCCCTTGTAGAGGTGTGGGAATAAAATCAGTACAGTTTTGTGGATAGATTGGTAACTCATGCTTTCTCCTACAATTCTGCTTCTAGTTCTTCATCCTACAACTGTAGAAGTGAACAAAGATTTACATGTCACATTTATTGTCATAGTGAAAACATGGAAACATCATGCTAATCAGCAGGAGACTAGTTACATAAAGCATACTCATACAAAGGAATTTTAGCAGTCATGAAAAAGGATGGCTAACTGGAATGCTCAGGCACTGAGGGGTCTCCAAAACACAGTGTCACGAGAAAAGGAAAGGGCAGATATAGTCTGTTCCTCTTTGCAGACAAAGGCACACCTATGCATAGATACATGCAGAAAATTTCCGGGAGGATAGAGAAGAAATTATAACAACTCGTAATCTTTCAGGTGTGGAACTGACAATCGGAGGGGAGAGGAGGAAGAATTTGCTTTTTATTTTATACCCTTTTGTATGACTTTGTTTTTAAAAAAATCATAGTTGCATGTTATCTTATTATAATCAGGGTTGTTTATTTATTTATTTAAAATGGAGTCTCGATCTATCACCCAGGCTAGAGGGCAGTGGCATGATCTCAGCTCACCGCAACCTCCGCCTCGCAGGTTTAAGTAATTGTCCTGCCTCAGCCTCCCAAGTAGTTGGGATTACAGGAGTCTACGACCATGCCTGGCTAATTTTTGTATTTTTAGTAGAGACAGGGTTTCACCACACTGGCCAGACTGGTCTGGAACTCCTGACCTCAAGTAGATCCACCCCCCTCAGCCTCCCAAAGTGCTAGGATTACAGGCATGAGCCACTGCACCCAGCCTATTTTTTTTTTTGTTTAATAAGCAAAAAATTCCATCTGTGGCCTTGACTCTACATTTCCTGAATGAATCCACACTACTTCTTGTTTACCACCTGGTCACCTCAGTCTCTCTGACAATCTCTTAAGCACAAGTGAGAAGTCTAAATTCTTAGCATTGCTGTGCTCAGGTCTTTCCTGTCATATCAAAAACATTACGTTATGTTCCGTGAAACTCCCTGGGCTCCAGACCTCGTCCTTCCCGGTGATGCTCTCCTGGTTCTCTGAACACTTTAGCAGCTGTATCAACCTTTGTGAATGCCATCGTATTCATTTTCTATTGCTATATAACGAATTGCTATAAACTCAGAGGCTTGAAATACACATTTTATTTTTATTTTTATTTTTTTCTGTCACAGTTTCTGTGGTCAGGAATCCTGGCACAGCTTAGTAGTCCCTCTGCCTCAGGACCCACAACAGGCTGAATTCAAGGTCTTGTCTGGGGCTGGGATCTCATTGCAAGGCTCAGCCAGGAGAGGATCCACTTCTAAGCTCATGAGGCTGTTAGCAGAATTCAGTTCCTTGCCTCCTGTTGAATTGAGGGCCTCAGTCTCTAGCTGGGTTCTAGCTGGGTGAGACCATCTCAGTTCCTTTCCACGTGGGCCTCCCAACAAGGCCCCCAACATACTCCTTGCTAATTTACCAACGCCAGCAAAGCAGAGTTGACCAGCAAGAGGGATGTTCCAATTGTGTATAATCTTGCGTGACTTATCTACCAGTTAGAAGCAAGTCAGGAGTCTCACCCACACTCAAGGGGAGAGGATTATGTAAAGGTGTAAATACCAGGAGGTGGGAATAATTGGGGGTCACCTTAGAATCAGCCATTATCAGGAAGTTGTATGATTGACATTTGGGTAGCCTAAAAGGAATGCCATCAGGAAAGTCTAATAACCATGAATGATTTTCCCTAAGGGTCTCCTCCTCTCATCACTTATTTAGAACTTCCCTGGGGTCTTTCCAGACCACTCTTCACCCACCCTGTGCTCATTCCTATATCTCCTTTTCTTCTGGGCTTCATCTGATGATGCCAGCCTGTGTTGAAAGATTAATTCCAGCCTTTCCTCCTTTTGTCCTTCACCTGTATCCTGAGGGTTGGGGGAAGTGGCTTGGGAGCAAGGAGAGGTGGGATTACGTGGCAATCAGTGGGTTCCTTCTGGGTCTGGTTCCCGGCCCAAGTGTCGCCTTCCTGCCAGTCAAGTTCAGCTTGCCTACTGCACCCCTGCACTGCTACTCACTATATGTTACGTTTCCTCTTTCCTTTTCTTATAAGAGTCATCACCCTCTTAAGTTCCCTGGTGAACTTCTCTGGGAAGGTGAGTCTGGAATCCAGCGGGTGTTCCACAGGACGTAACTGAATGCTTTTGCTATGACAGGGAAGACCATCACCCTCTGAAGTTTATTGTCTTGTTTTTAATCTGCTTTCCCTCTAGAGGGTTAAGATGAAGGGGTCTTGTTTTTCCTTGTCCACTGCAATGTTTCCAGGACCTGGAGTGGCTCCTAGCACATGATAAACATCTAATAAGTACCTGTGAAATAAATAATTGGATTAGTCATTGAGTAATCAATGTGTCCTACGAATCCAGTAGGTGGAGGAAGCACCATTGCTGCCCTGGTCCTAAGGGCCATTTCTCACAACTATTGCTTAGGTAGCTATATGGCTATGAACCTAAACCTTGCAATCCTAGTGTTACTGACTTTTGTCTTGCTAATATCTAAGCATTCCTTATCCCTCCCTCTCTTCTCACTAATCATTGAGGATTACAATGGCTAGACTAAGACATACTCCAGGAAATCAGCCCACGGGGTGGGATGGGACCCTGGAAGTGGCTTCCCATCTTCTGTCTCTGCATTGGTCAGTGGCTAGAAATGTCTGGCTGTAACTAAGAAATAGCTGCAAAATTTGCAGCCTGACAACTGCCCCTGTTTACTTGCATATTTGTTGCCACAGAGGGCATAATTATAGATGGAGATTGAGAATGGCAGTAATGATGTGCCAGCCTCATAAGGTGCTCAGTGTGTGCCAGGCTGTGAACACTGTGCTTCCTCTGTGGCAGTGTCTCCCTTAATCCTCACATCAGCCCTTCCTGGATGGGAGGTGGGGTTGGTTCCCACTGAGGCATCACTAATTCTAAAAACAACTACCTGGTCAAATGTAAATGCAATTTCTAAGCCAGCTTATTAGGCGAATGTCAGTGAAAATAATTTTAATAGCATTCTTGCATTAGGAAGAAGCCTTAATGAAAACACAATTTTAGCATAATTAGATTGAAATAGTTCAGCACTGCATACATAATCTGAAATGATCTTACTTAAGCTCACCTAGCACATTGACAAGTCACCGTTG